CAACCCTTACTGAAAGAAAGTATTAACTACAAAGTTAAGAACTTGATTTTTTTTTTTTTTTTGGAATAAACAGCAGAAGGGTGATTAAAACTTTGATTTTAGAAAGAGACAAATGGACTAAGGGATCAGATAAATTTTAAACAAGATCTGGAATTAATTATAAACAATCCTTCCCATGGTTTTTTTTTTTAAATAATAAAGTAAGGTTTTAAAAATTGGACACTAGAGGGACTAGAAGGAACTAAAGATTATAATTAAAGGAGAAGAACTCTCAAACTCAACGTACAATTACAGAATGAAGCAAGTATTTTAACATGGGACATATTAAAGGATATTTTTGAACAATGGACTCAGAAGATTTCTATCCTTTATGATGTAGAGTGTTTCTCAAAGAAGCTCTATAGAACTATCTTAGGTGCACCTATGTGTAGGGTTTTTTGGGGTGGGGGAGGCAGAAACTGGCACATATAAAATTAAAACCAAAATAATTACTAAAGCATTTAATGGCTTGGTTAGATATCTTTCACCAACAGTTTTGTGACTCATCCTTTTGAAGCCAATGAAATCTTTTACTTAATGTTGGCTTACTAATCATATGCATTCCTTTGGCTTTTCACTACAATTCTTTCTGAATTCCAATAATGCAAATGATCATCAGCTATTTAACAACAGGGCTTGGGATAGTTTTGCCCAAAGGATTCTTTCCAAAGTTTCACAAAATAACTTTGTTCCCTGGTACTCCCTCAATAAAAGCAAAATTGAGTATGAATACTATTTAAGGTGTATAACAGAAGCTTCCCTCAGAGAGACATTCACTAGGTTACTGTTGCAACAAATATCTTTTGCAGCCAGGAGGGTCAATTCCTTAAAATCGCTTATAATACGAGTTTCTGCCCATGTTGCATCAAAAATATAGAAGAGTTTTCCCATGATTTATTGTACTGCCCTATTTCCTGCTTTTGCTCTGGGGGAAAAAAAAATGGAGCTTCTCTGGAAGGGGAAATTATCTTGGCCTGATTCATACAAAATTGAAATTTAATGATTTGAAACAAGGAAACTCTATGCCTGAGACTAGCAAATAATTAAGCTGTTTACATATTTGGTTTGTATGGCCGCCCATCTCATCTAAGTGATTCTGAGCAACTCATAACAAGTGATAAATTTTAAAAAGAGTTGTGACTGATAGTTTAGACCACCATGCTGGCTGGGGAATTCTGGAGGTTGAAGTCTACGTATCTCAAACTTGCCAAGTTTGAGAAACCCTGGTGTAGACCAACGCAAACTAGGCTGCTCACAGAGCACTCACAACTGAGAGGATGTGTTGCTTCCCTGCCACATGATGGACTGCATAGCAATGAAAAATAAAAATGGTCCAATGTTACTATGAGGGAGAGTGAGGCTCCATTTAGGGACCCTACTATATGTACTGAATGTACTGTGAGGGATGTTGTTACCTCAGAAGTGTTAAGGTAAATTTAACCTATTATTATGAGGGGCTTCTGTTTGTGAAACAGGATGTATTTACCATTTTGCCCTTCACCTAAGATAACATCCAGACTTATGCAAATATCATATACTGTATGTAACTAGTCCTAATAGGATCCAGGCTCATATCCAAAGTTTAAGCCACAACAAAGGTCAGTTCTCTTCTAAAGGATTGAACTAAGAAATTATAGTTATAATACCTATCAGCCATTGGTACTTAACATATATCAGCCACTGGTGAATGGTACAGGCAGATACTTGCTATGGTTCATGGGGTCACGAAGAGTCGGACACGACTTAACGACTAAACAACAACAACAACAGTCTGGTTAAAGATTCCCTGAACAACTACAAGAAGTTCTCTGTGATGGTAAACCCATGCCATCCTAAAGATTAGTCCTAAAATGGTACATTTTCCAGTAAACATTCTCTTGACAAACTCTCTCTCTCAACTTCCATGATTCCCCCTTTCTATCACATAACCTTTTCATAATTTGGTTGATGGACGTTTTTCTATCAGCTGGCATCCTTCCTAACAGACATCTGGCTTGATCCATTACTGGTTGAGAAAAAGTATTTAGTGGAAACAGTTCCTCAAAATACCAGAGACAGCTTGGAAATTAAATACAGAGATTTTCCTTGATATGTAATTATTTAAATGACTGTGATTAATTCTGCTTCCATTAAAAACCCTTCTGAAGGCTAGGTAAACACTAGGATAGCTAAGGATTGAGACATGATAGAAGTATTTACAGCTTCAGTGGAGAATGGAGCACTGAGAGTAATTGACGGACATTTAAATAAGATTAGGACAATAGTAGGGAAACTTCAGAATAAGGTGGAAACTAGACCATCTGTAGATAACTGGGATCTGACTAAATAATGGCACGACTATTGCTTTCAATGCTATTATTGCCACATACAGTATGCATGACAGAAATGACAGATTGTACTAGCAACGATCCTCTTCCCTTTGTACACAATTATTTTCAAGCTGGTGACCTTATCATTGGTGGTATCTCCTCTCTAATCAACATTCCTACAACTCCATCTAGCTTCAGTGAAGATCCCCACCGTTTGTTTAATGATGAGCCTCTGTAAGAAATCTTTTTTTTCTCTGTCTCTCTCCCCCTTCCTTTTTCCATCTGTATGTACATGTGTGTTATTGTATGTGTAAGCTCTTATTCTTAATTATGCATATTTAACACAAGAATATTATCAAAAGTAATTCATACTGAAATGTATGCACATAAAGTAAACATGGCATTATGCTTCCTTCCTTGCATATGATCCTTGAGGGAGGAACTAAAGAAAGACAAGAGTCTAGGACGACAGCCAGGGATTTGTTTGGGACCCAGTTGGTATACTTGGTTGGGACTAAAGCAGCAGTTCTTGACATCAGTTGTCTCTAGCAAATAATTATGTAAATTTTAATTTTACAATGTCTGTTTCATTTAATTGCCATAAAGCACAATTAGGAAAAAAAAAAAAAAAAGGAAAATACATTTTTCTCACAGGAATATCCCTAAGATTTTTTTTCACACCCCTTAGTTCAGTGCTGGAATTAAAATATTATCTTTAACATATTGGTCTATATGCATTTAATGGTATATCATTTTGTTGCTAAGATTTCCATAGCATAGCTTAGCCCAGAAGTCTTAGCAACAAAATGATATACCATTAAATGTATATAGAAGTGGAAGAATTATTTAAATGTTTAATTGGGTACAAATTATTTTTAAGACAGCACAAGATCCTTTTTTTTCAAACTGTTTAAAAAATTTAAACAGCCAGTTTGGTGCAGTGGTTATGGTGCCAGCCTAGAAACTGGGAGACCGGGAGTTCCAGTCCCACCTTAGCTACAAACCCAGCTGGGTGACCTTGGGCTAGTCTGTCTCTTTCAGCCCTAGGAAGAAGAAGGCAATGACAAACCACTTCTGAAATCTTGCCAAGAAGACTACAGGGACTTTTCTAGGCAGTCACCATGAGTCAAGTCTGATTTCAAGGCACAAAACCAAACAAACCATCATAAAAAATGCCAGGGGATATTTGACTGAAAACTTATTCTCGGTCCATCCAAAATATTTCTCACATAAATTATTTAAAAATTCAACAAAATAAAACTTTGAAATGGTATTGACTGGAATAGTATGACATAATCTGACACAATCAAAGTTCTTTTCTGGAGGACTTTAGTGAAGCATAAGCATGTAACAATTATTCATTAGATGCAGAACTTCTTTTGATGCAATATCCAATCCTGATTTCAGTGTCCTTACCAAGTACTATCAACATATCTTGGCC